CTTTTTTTTTTTTTTTTTAAGAATTTCTCTCTGGTCAAATTAAAATAAATGAATGAATAAATAAAATTAAATAAATAATTATAAATTAAAAAAAAAAGAATTATATTTGTTATTTTTTAATTTGGCCAGAGAGAGAGAGAGACAAAGACAGAGAGAATGGAAAAGGGAGAAAGTAAGCCACCAGGCTTGAGACTTGAACCACAGTCAGCTATGTGGGAGTCCAGCGCCTTAATCACTAGGCCACCTGTCAGCCCTAATAATAATAATTAGTCTTAAGTATAGATACATTGGGGGCCAGTAGGTAGTGCAGTGGTTATGTCGCTAGACTTCCACATGGCTGACTGTGGTTTGAGTCCCAGATCCGGTGGCTAGAAAATCATGCCAGATCATGTCCAAGATCCTGGGAGGGGAATGGATGAGAAGGGATTGTGGCATGGCCATTCCTCCAGGGGATGATTTTTCACTTTCCCTCTCACTGTCTCTGGCAAGCACACATACTCAATAGCAAAAAACATACAAATAAACAGGGACCAGGAGTTGGCATAACGGCTATGTCGCTGAACGCCCATGTAGCCGACGGCGGTTCAAGTCCCGGACCCGGTGGCTTAAACTCACGCTGGGCGCGTGTGCATGCATGACCCAGATCCAGAGAGGAGAATGGAGGAGAAGGGATTGCGGTGTGGCCATTCCCCCGGGGGGTGATTTCTTGCTTTCTGTCTCTCTGTCTCACTCTGTCTTTTTGGTGTGCACAAGTGCCCTATAGCAAAAACTTCTCCAAAAAAAAAAGTAACAAACAAACCCACACCTCTTTAAAAAAAAAAAGATTTATTTTATTCATTCAAAAATTTCCTTGAAAACTCTGAATTCAAAAAAAAAGGAAAACTAAATTCTTACAACCTCTCCTTCCCTCTTCCTCTGAATCACTTTTGGTAAAAAACCATTGGGCACAGGACATTTAAAGTGACTCGTTACAGGGAAATGTACATGTCTGGACTACATTCAATGTTTCAAGACCTTTAACAATGAGTGACTCCCCCATTTACTCTGGTCAACCAAAGACCATTGCTCAACATTAACAAGTGGGAGAAATGGGTGTGGTGCTAAAATTCCAGTTGTCTGAGCTGGATATTCAGCAGAAAAGGCATTTCTATGATACAGAAAGAGCAAGATCTCACTGGTTAAGTGTCTACTTCAATTGCAGACAGGAGACAGGGCTACCGGAGAAACGTGGGAGAAATTTAACTATACTAAGGTCCAGTTATGAAATCTAGAAATTAAATTTATCTGGTTATCTATCAGACATTTTTTTCCAGTTTCTACTGCAGCATAAGTACCACCAATGGACTATTACATAAAAGGACTAATGTCATCCTTCCTAATTTGATTATGAAAATAGAGGGCTGGCAGGTGGTTAAAGGCACTGGACTCCCATGTGGCCAACCATGGTTCGAGTTCTGACCTGGCAGCTTGCTCTCTGTCTCTCCCGGGTCATAACTGAATTATGATAATAAATCTTTTTTAAAAAGTTATGGGAACTAGCAGTTAGCATAATGGCTATGTCTCTGGACTCCCACGTAGTCGACCGTGGTTCGCGTCCTGGACCCGGTGGCTTAAAAACTCACGCCGGGCGTGTGTGCATGCGTGCCCAAGATCCCGAGAGGAGAATGGAGAAGAAGGGATTGCGGCGTGGCCATCCCCCCTGGGGGATGATTTCTCACTTTCTGTCTCTCTGTCTCTGTCTGTCTGGCGAGCGCACGCGCCCTATAGCGAAAAAATCTCTCGGAAAAAAAAAAGTTATGAAAATAAACCATTTATTTAACGTTTTTCTAGTGACAGAGCAAATGTACAGTAATTCACTAATACATTCTAATTATCTGTTTGATGGAGGTACAGAGGTACTATATTTACAAGACAGCTGAGTGTATATATATATATTTTTTTACTCTTTTTTTTTTTGAGAGGTTTTTGCTATAGGGCACATGTGCTCACCAAAAGACAGAGAGAGACAGAGAGACAGAAAGCGAGAAGTTATGCCCCTGGGGGATAGCCAAGCGGCAATTCCTTCTCCTCCATTCTCCTCTCAGGATCTTGGGCACACATGCACACACACCTGGGGTGAGTTTAAGCCATCGGAGTCTGGGACTCAAACTGCAGTCAACTACATGGGAGTCTAGCAACATAGCCATTACGCCAACTGATAGTCCCAACAGTGAGTATATTAAAGTGCAAAATTTTAGCTGTAGAAGAAAACTGAGAATGACTGAAACTACAAGTCAGGATTCATTTGTTCTATAACCAAAGCCATCTGGCATAAACCTTAAATTTTTTTGGTTAGCCAAATAAAAAAACATTTTTGGGGCTAGCAGGTGGCGTGGTAGTTAAGGGTGCTGGACTCCCACATGGCTGACCACAGTTCAAGTCCTGGACCCAGCAACTTGCTTTCTCACTCCCTTCTCCCCTCTCTCTGTCCCTCTCTGGTCAAATTAAAATAAATAAAGTTAAATAAAACCATTCTTTAAAAAAAAAAAAAAACATTTTATAAGAAGGAGGTTCTAGAAATTCTGGGAGGAAATCAAGTTTCCTTTAGGCTGATGAAACTTTAATATGTAATTAATTGTCCTAAGAATGTTATGTAAAATGTAGGAACAAGAGCTCTGATTTCAAGTTCTAATTTTGCTGTGCCCACGTACCATGCAAGAAGTCCTTGAGAAATTAGTAGTTATTTTAGCTCAATCTTCCTTCAGTGCCAAATGTCTACAAATAATTTTAAGATCCTAAATGAAAAGATCTACTGTGATCATTCCAGCTGGAAAAGATCTGCACCTAGTCCTCTAAACTTTTATGAAACTGACTTGAACTGTTTTGTAATAATGATCGCAGCCTACTTTAAGTTGTCTCCTTAGCTCCCCTATTGAGCCTACATTTCTGGAAGGACTTCTGCATCTCAGATAATATAAATTATTATCCTTCTAAAGCACTGTCTTGCATTTTTTTGAATATTAAAACAATTTACTGGATTAACTGGACAGTACTTGGGCAGCAAGGTAGCTCTGTCTGCCTGTGTTCTCCAGCCCCCACTTTCCTTTACCAGTTATCTGGCTATCAGCCAGCAACAGGCCAAAGTGTTATTTCAGCTGACCTAACTTTAATTCTTAAATTATAGCATCAGGCATGTCCATATTTAAGAGTTCATATAGAAAAAAGAGATCTAGGACCTTATGGTCTAGGAAGCATTTCCAGTCATCTCCTACCCTGGCTACATGGGTACTCTGTCCTTCCCACACCTCTAGCTCAATCATGTTACAGAAAAATCTATGTTAATACTAACCCCCATACTGATAGAATGTTTATAAAGAGCAATTACTAATTTCCTGCCACATCACTGGATGAATGGATGCAAACAATGATTATATTGACAGTGATGATGGGTTAGTGTCAAAGCTATATTGAGTGTCATCTACTCAGGCATACTAGATGTATTTTTGGGACCTCAAAGCTCTAGTTGTGATTCTCAAAGGATGCTATCAGAGGGACCAGCAGATGACATAATGGTTATATCACTGGACTCCTATGTAGTTGACAGTGGTTTGAGTCCCAGACTTGGTGGCTTAAAACTCAAACGGGTGCATGTGTGTACGTGCACGTGTGCATGCCCAAGATCCAGAGAGGAGAAAGGAGAAGGGAATGTGGGGTGAGGGGTTATTTCTCGCTTTCTGTCTCTCTGGCGAGTGCACACACCCTATAGCAAAAATCTCTTAAAAAACAACACACACACACACACACACACAAAACAAAAACAAAAACAAAAACAAAAACCTCTAGGGACCAGCAGTCTGCATAATGGCTATGTTGCTGAACTCCCATGTAGTCAACCGCAGTTCAAGTCCTGGACCCAGTGGCTTAAACTCACCTGCGCCTGTGCATGCATGCCCAAGATCCTGAGAAGAGAAGGGATTGAGGTGTGGCCATCCCCCCTGGGAGGTGATTTCTCACTTTCTGTCTCTCTGCCTCTCTCTCTCTCTCCTTCTGGCAGCGCACATGCTCTATAGTAAAAAACTCTCTCAAAAAAAAAAAAA